AAGAATTATACTCGGGAAACGGTCTCCGCACCCTATAATTACGCCATCAATAATTGAAACGATAAGAAATTGTACCGTCGAGACCCGAATAAATTTTTCATGGAATATTGTCAGGTGTGCTTATTTCCATCTGGTTTCTTACCGCTGGACCTTGACGTGGCACTATAATTTATAGCCAGTAAATATTTCAGAACTTTTCGTGGGGTGTGTAGACCGTAGGGCTAGGGTACTTTTTATCCTATGATTATTTAACGAGTTGCGCTAGCCAGATATTTTCGGTGAAAATAAAATCTTCGAAGTTGTTTTCTCCGTCTCATTAAGTGTTATTAGGTATAGAATCTTTAAATAAACAATTCTAAAAATTGTTATGGATTGTTGGAAAGTTGCTAGTTGTATTTATATTCTTTGAACTCGTAATAATGAAAGTTTTAAATATATAAATATATGGTAAGAAAAATAAATATAGCTTTGCTATTCGAATATAAATGTCAGCCTGAAATGATACGGTTTTAAAACTGACCAGTAATTTTTGAAACTATCTAAATCTGATGTAATTTTAAAAAATTTCGTGCAGTATAGAGGCTAACCAGCAGGTTAAAATGGACATCTTATTTATGTCAGTTTATTAAAATAGCTTCTCGTTTAGATGCTCACCAGGTAGTTTACAAAATTTATTTGGGTTCTTGTGATGTAAAAAAAAGTAAATAAAATATGGCATTAAATTTCAATTGTAAAACTAAATATATTTAAAAAACACAAATTTGTTGAATTTCCTCCTCCTCCTAGGTACCGTCTCCGTTGAGGTTGGCGACCACTATGGCAAAATCTTCCCTATGTTGGGCTCGATGTATAAAATTGTTGAATTTAGTATGCAATAAATTATTAAACTCTTTTTTTCAACCATTGTCACTTCATAAGTTGGGTAATCATTTACTCTTACATTTCTGCTATTTTGAATTTTTAAAAAACAACTTATACATCTTCTTTGTGCTACTACAGTGATGTTAACATGTGTACAGAGATATGTTAAAGACAGTGTTTATAAAATTTCACCAACTACTGTCGACAACATAAAAGAAAAGATTGTGGCTGCTTTTTGAGTATAACTCCACATATACTTCTTAATATGAAACAATATTTTAAAAAGATAATTATTTTATGCAGCGAACAAGAAGAATAGCCATTTTGAACATTCGATTTCTTCCAACTAATTTTTGTCATATTCTCTAATTCTATAATAAATAAGCTATTTTTTGAACGTCTACATTTTTACTAACGTTGAATATTGTACTCTACATCCATTAATTTTCTTTAAATTAACGTTAGGAATATCACATCCACCTAGGTTGTATCAAATAATAATGACCTATATTACAGTAGTAAAGTATAATTTAGGTGGTTTTTTATTAAAATTTATTCTTCCATTTTAGAAAATGTCAAATGTGTCAAAAACCTTAAATTTTGAAAAAAAATGTCTATACTTATGTGGCGGATTCATCTTTCCAAAAAATCCTATATGGGTATTTCGCCAATGCAACAAAATCTACAAAATAAAATAGTTATTTTTTGTAAACACTTCTGCGTTAGGTTAGGTTAGGTTTAAACGGAAACTACTTGTCAGAAATTATGTATACAGATATACAAATTTGCCTAACGAACAAAAAATGCTTAAAGTTTCGGAAATTTTATCTCTTTCCGTCGTTGGAAGCAAAAAAAAATACAAAGTATAAAGAAAAAAACTATTTAAAATATTTAAATTCAACTATTCGAGAACACTTTAGTTTTTTAAAACAGATACGTCTACAAAAAACCGTTGACGTTCTGTTAAGATGACATTATATCAAGTTAAATTTCAATATTAAGAATTACTACCTGATAACAATTACTTAATAAGGTAAAACCAAAAAGCCCCAAACATTCTGTATGATTATTTTTAATTTTACGTATGTTATGTTTATTTATGTTATGTTCTTTAAAATCAAAGAAGCGATTGCCATACCTACATTACTAACATCTACAGATGCATGAGCAATACGTTTATTTTTGTCAGATTGTATTAAAAAAAGCCTCTTTTACTTTTCTTTTAGAAGCTATCGCTTCTTTCATTATAATTTTTAATAACGCCAAAATGTCTAAGGTGGTATAATTTCGTTTGCATTCTTTGATAGATTGTTATTGAAAAAGGTCATATTTTTTGCTGTTTTAAAATGTTAAGGATGAGGAAGGTATAAAATTTATTTAGTTCAATTCTATTACATTTTTCTCAAAATGTCAATAATAGAAAAGTTTTTCCTCCTGTAAAGATAATTCTGGGACATACTGTAGCGTGTTCCATTACAAAAAATACAGCTTTAATGTTTAACTTTTTATAGACACTCTGTAGATCCCTTATTTTTAAAAAATGCTTTAAGTTAACTTACATATGCTCCCAACTCCCAACCACTGTCACTGTCATTTATCTTCACGTTCCGTTGGACTGAATATACAACTAATGGAGTTATATTAACCAAAATAATAAATGTTTACAAAAATACAGACCGTTTAATGAAATTATTAATTACCAGACGTCTTTGCGTGCTGCATATGTATAGAGTGTTTAACTGTAAACTTTCTGTTATCCCGAAATTGCTGAAAAGTTCAAAGAATTAATTTCAAATTACTATTACCTTGCAATTAAAATATGATTAACTTAATTAGATATGCGCTAATAACAACCTACTCTAAATTAAATATTCTACCCCTATATCAAATATAGAAATATATTTTTAAATTATATAATTTGTACATTTTGAGATCTAAATTAAGATTATCAATTTGTTACTTAAAATAGAGACACGTTTCCATAAAAATAACGGCTGGCATTTTTTCTGTTTTTTTTCGTATTTCGTATAGAGAAACTGTGGGAAATGAAAAATGTGTACTAATTTTGCATGACAGTTTTTGTGACTATACATATGTATCACGTATACTAACATACCAAATGTTGTTGTTTTATCTGAAAAAATAAAATAGTAATAGAGGTGAGCCAATTTTGAGACGCAACCGGTATATTGTTAACAAAATATATGTTAAAAGCAATAATCTGCTAAATTTAATTTTTTTAATCTCTTCTTTGTTAAGTAATATTTTAATGGACGATTTTGAAAATAATACAATAAATAGTTTTTCAAAAAAGCCTGTAATATGGCTGCTTTGTGTTGATGATATTTTTGCAATATGGCAACATAACGTTTCTGAAATAGAATTTTTTTTGGATTATAGAAATTCTCGCGAACCTACCATAAAATTTACTTTAGAAGTAGAGAGAGGTAATCGTTTGCCATTTTTTGATGTTTTAGTGTCAAAGTTTCAAAATAAACTAATTTTAGATGTTTACAGAAAACCCACAAATACAGAGAGATACTTAAATTTCACATCTAATCACAGTATAAGTGTAAAAAAAGTTGTTATAAAAAGTTTATATGATAGGGCAAAAATAATATGTTCAGACGATATTTCACTAAACAAAGATATAAACCACATAAAAAAATACATGAATAAAAAACGACTATCCACCATATTTTACAATTTACAAAACATTAAACGAGAAATACAAACCCCAAATCATAGATACAATGATAACAATACACAATATACATAACTTACAATTCCACACATACGAGGCGTTTCGAAAAAAAAAATAACAAAGATAGGAAAACAATATAACATACGAACATGTTTCAAATCACAAAATACACTTAAGCACCCAAACATTATCAAAGAAATTGCGCAACAAAGCGATGCGCAACGTTCCTTTGCACAACTGCCTCACCCATGCACTTAGTAAAATTTTGATCAAACTTTTTATTAAAAGTTGTGCATTGTTTGAGAAACAATCATGTTTTCAATTGCCATTACGTCAATTATTATCGTATATACCCTAGATGATGTCGATGATACCAAAAAACGAAAAAGAAAATAAAGAATTTGGATGAAAGAACTAAAACATTGCACAACGAAGCGCAACACACACATACACTACACAACGCGTTGCGCAAACTGTTGCACAAAAGAATTCAAACATTCTTGAAACTCATCAAACAATTGCGCAACGCATCAAACACTACCATACATTGGCAACTCGTTGCGCAACAGCCGTTGCGCAATTTGTTTGATAATGTATGGGCCGCTTTAGATCCATTTTGTCACATACTAAACCAATGAATACAGAACAACAAACAAAAAATGTAATTTACAAAATACCATATGAATGCGATAAATTTTACATTGGTGAAACATCTAGGCCCTTAAATATTCGAATTAAAGAACATAAAGATTATTTAAGAGAGGGAGATTTTCACAAATCTTAGATTTGTCAGCATTCATGGGACACAGGACACAGAATAAATTTTAATAACGCCAAAATTATAATGAAAGAAGCGATATCCTCTAAAAGAAAAATAAAAGAAGCTTTTTTAATACAATTTAATAAAAAAAAATGTATTCCTTATGCATCTGTAGATGTTAGTAATGTATGGCAATCACTTCTTTGATTTTAAAGAACATAACATAAATAAACATAACATACGTAAAAATTAAAAATAATTATACAGAAAGTTTGGGGCTTTTTGGTTTTACCTTATTAAGTAATTGTTAATTTTTAAGTTTAACTTGATATAATGTCATTTTAACAGAACGTTGACGGTTTTTATAGACATATCTGTTTAAAAAAAGTGTTCTTGAATAGTTGAATTTAAATAGTTTTTTTCTTTATTCTTTGTATTTTTTTTTGCTTCCGACGACGGAAAGAGATAAACTTTCCGAAACGTTAAGCATTTTTTTGTTCGTTAGGCAAATTTGTATATCTGTAAACATAACTTCTGACAAGTAGTTTCCGTTTGGATTAACGCAGAGGTGTTTACAAAAAATAATACCCATATAGGATTTTTTGGAGAGATGAATCCGCCACATATGTATAGACATTTTTTTGTATATACATAATTGAAAATTTATATTTTCAGTTTCGACAAAAGCCAACCATCATTCTTTTGGATTGCTCCAAGCTACAGCTAGGAAAAGGTCGTTTGGACGATAGCGTGACGGCGTTCAGAAGGCGATTAGAAATATTTAGGCAGTCTTCGCTACCTATGCTTAAAGCAATGGATAACATCGGCAGACTAACTATTGTAAGTGTTAAGAAGTATTTTCCATACCATTTCTGTAGTAAAACTGATATAAGAAGGAATATAATTGAAATTTCCGTAAAGCTATAAATTTTGAAAATCTCCACACGTAAATAATATTAAATAGACAAACCTTAAACACATACATATAGTACAAAACAGGGCTTTAACTTGTACCTAATTGCATATTTGTAAACGACGTCCACGATTCGGTTCTATGATCACGATTCGGTTCTTTCCTATAGACCGAACGATACCGCGTAAACAGCATACGATATCGCAAATTCGTCTGGTAAAAAGCATCCGTGATTCCAAATTTTAACTGCCTTAACACTCTTAGAGCGTTTTTACACGACGCGGTAACCATGCGATATATCGCGAGCAATTATGGCGAAGTATTTTCACATGACACCATAATCTGCGACCATAGATATGAATTAAAAATAAACCTAACATGCAGTGATGCCACAGGTATCGTGAAATACCATGGAGGGAAGACGTCTACTGCTATTATTATTATTAAATCGACAAAGGAGATAACGAACAAGAAAATGTCAGCGAAGGTTTTGGGTTTCGGTTATTTGCTATGCTGAATCCAGGTTTTCAAAGTCTTATAATAAAAATTTTTAAATTTCAGTCCAAGCTCGTGTTTTCTAAACCTTAAATAGAGTTTTATCCTTATAATCGTCGTCAAATTTATCCCAGATACACGGTCGTTCTTCCACCAGTTTAATCAGAGTAAGAGGATCATATTTATATGAACTTGCATTTGCTCGTCATATTGGACCAAAATAGAAGACATTACCACGTACAATGAGAAACTGCTAATAACTCCGCGAATTGACAACGTTCCCTACCGTTTATTGCTGTCGGTGTGAAAACATGCACAAACTTGTTCAGGACACTGCATCGCGACGATGCACTATGGCTGCGATTTCATTAGAACATATCGTGTGTACAGACCATATTGCACTATGGTTACTCTACAGGGTGGCCCATCGAAAACGTTCCGGAAGGCATAACGGCCAGGGTAATTTTTTTTCAAACAATCCAAAAACACGTCAATTTTGTTTGTGAGGGGGACAACTTTTGCCCCAAAAATGATTGCAAAATCTTCAACCCTCTAAGCGGGGGTGTTATCCCCCAACTTTTTTCAAATGGGAAGGGGGTCATGTGGCACCGCAATGAAAAGAGCTTTCTATTCTCTATATTTCTCCGCTTCGTTTTTGAAAATCGATCGAGTCATTGAGAAAATATGAAGGATTGAAATTTGAAAAGTTTATTTAAACATTTATCAGAGTAAATGATATGGATAAATTCCTTCGACCAATTTGAGTTTTTTTTATTATTTCTAGATGTTTACGCATTTTTACACTTGCCACAAGGTTGAACGATCAGGTGCGGTAGTTGCTAGATAGCTGTTCTGTGACTTGTGCGTTGAAGTTCTTCTTAATATCGTTAAACTGACCCACAATAGAATTTCCAAAAATACTAGCCCTCACGTTCAATTTTTGAGGGTTTTGTGTGTGCACCTCGTGAAAAACCCTGGGGTTGTCCTCAGCCCAGTATCGACAGTTGTGCCGATTAACTACCGATTAACTACACCGTTTAAAAAGAAAGTACACTCATCCGAAAAACAAACATTAAATAGAAAATTATTATCATTCGCCACTCGTTCACTCATAGTTTCACAAAATTGCAAGCGACGATTAAAATCTAATCTCACTCGCGAATAATTTTGCCATAAAGGTGTTTGTCAGGATGGCGTTCAGTGAATATCTGCGCAACCCTATTGCCACATTCATTATTTTTAAAATAAAGTTCGATTATTTCCACTTTTTCTGCAAGTGAGTATACCATAATTGTTAAAAAGTTAACGATATTGAGAAGAACTTCAACGCATAAGTCACAGAACAGCTATCTAGCAACTACCGCACCTGATCGTTCAACCTTGTGGCAAGTGAAAAAATGCGTAAACATTTAGAAATAATAAGAAAAAACAGAAATTGGTCGAAGGAATTTATCCATATCATTTACTCTGATAAATGTTTAAATAAACTTTTCAAATTTCAATCCGTCATATTTTCTCAATGACTCGACCGATTTTCAAAAACGAAGCTGGAAAGTATAGAGAATAGAAAGCTCTTTTCATTGCAGTACCACTTGACCCCCCTTCCCATTTGAAAAAAATTGGGGGATGACACCCCCGCTTAGAGGGTTGAAGATTTTGTAATCATTTTTGGGGCAAAATTTGTCTCCCTCACAAACAAAATTGACGTGTTTTTGAATTTTCAAAAAAAAAATTACCCTGGCCGTTATGCCTTGCGGAACGTTTTTGATGGGCCACCCTGTATCTGGTGTACATGTGAAAATAGCTTATTAAAAATACGTCTATTTGGTGCTTCGCAATATCGCGAGCAATATGTGGTCGCAATATATGGTATGGTTACCGCGTTGTGTAAAAACGCTCTGATAAACACCAGACGATATCGCTAAATTTATTAATGGGTTGCTCGTAATCAGCATTCAGGATCGTAAATTTTGTTTATCAACACAAATTTAACGAGGATACGAGTTAAAAATAACGAGGAACGAGTTAAAAATAAAAAGGTTTTTTTCAAGCGAATACCCCTTCGAATAACAACCACGCATACTACTGCTTAACTTTGGTGATCGTACGTAAAAATACAGGTTGACGTGCTGTTGATTCATAAAACATTCGATTATTATAGAGGACTATAAAGTAAAACCTAAAGTCGTATCGGGAAATCAACAGAAAATAGATTCCCACGTGACACTATTTTATGTTCATCCAACTTACATATAATATAAATAGACAATAAAAGTATCTAAATTATTTAAAACAAATTAGAGATATAATATATTTTCCATAGAACTCAATATACATTTATAATACCTAACTTTTCTTAAAAAAAAGATGTGTTCTTAACTATAAGAAATATTCAAGAAGGAACTAAAGCGTAGTTTACACGGGCAAGTAAATTATCGCAAGTATATGTCTGAGAGCACTTCTACCAAACTTGCATAATGTAAACAGTATCCGAAAGCACTCTCCCAGCAAGTCACAAAACTGTCGGGGAAGTGGTTGCGACGAAAGACGCTTGCAAGTGTAAACAGGTTGGGAGAGTGCTCTGGCAAGTTAAAATTTATTTCCGTCTTGTTGAAAGTTTTTGGTGCAAGTGATTTTCGAAGGCGTGTTAAATAACGATACTAAAATGGAGTATGTGGTTGAAAGAAGATACCATCACTTTGATTAATTTATTTGAAGGATTTCCGGAATTGTGGCAAAAAAATTGAAAATTTACAGAGATAAAGCTGAAAAGCAAAAAGCAATCAAATTTATAGCTGACAAATTCAACACAAGAGGCTGAGATTCAGTGGAAGCTACATAATATTCGTATCCAAGCAAACCAGGAGTGAACAAAATTATAAAAAGAAAAAGTAAAATCGACTACTGACATTCGCAGAAAATTGTTTAAATGCTTTGGGTCTTCATTTCTTATTTTTTTTTAATAACATCGCGTAAGCTCCAAGACTAGGCCTTCTGGCAATCCATTCTTTAACCCATATATTCTTTTTCTAGATTTTCTTGGCTGTTTGCGTAAAATTGCAACAAGAAGAGCAGTGGCTGCAGCTCTCTTTTTACGGCGCGACATTTTTCTTCTAAACAATATACTTGTGCAATATACATATACTATACCGTGTATTCGTGCATGCAATTTCTTGCTCAAAGCATATGCCTAGAAAGTACTTGTTGCAAGAAATTGCTTTAAAATTTGCTTAAATGTAAACACTATCGCAAGTTACTCTAGCAAGTTCTATCGCAATTTTCTATCCCGTGTAAACTACGCTTAAAGTTTCTTCTTGATCTTCTTGTAATAGAAAAAGTCAAATTTTACCTGCAAAGAAACTACACAGTTAGTTTTATTTAAAATTTTCGAAGTAAAGCTGGTCATTCTCTAAGTATTGGGTAAACTGTTCTGCAAATTTAAAACATTCTGCAGCTTTATTTATTTCAGCCATTTTTTGGTTTCGATTTATAATCCTTTTTTTTAAGTTAATTTGTTTTGAGTAATTCTCTTGTTAATTTTGTAACTTACCTCAATTTCTTCCTTTTTAACGAAACGTGTTCTAATTCTAACTTTTTGCGATCTTGAATGCTGATTACGAGCAACCAATCAACAAATTTCGCGATATCGTCTGCTGTTTATAAGAGGAGTTAACGCAGTTAAAATTTGGAATCACGGATGCTATTTATTAGACGGATTTGCGATATCGTTGCGATATCGTTCGGCAATAGTGTGTCGGGCATCTGTAGCTTCTGGAATAAAAAATTGGGACTATAGAGTGCATGATTTGTGAAATTTACAACATGTATTTGCATATACTCTGACTTTGCATATACTTGATATTTTTAAGAGCAACATATTTTAACCAGTTTATATCAAGTTTTCTAGAAGAGAGTTCAAAATATTAAACTGAATAATCTAAATTTGAAAATATCAAGTTTTTAAATTACATTCAGTTTGAACGAAAAGGTGAAAGGTATTTTGGTGGAATTATCTCTTATAGTAATATTTGTATTATAACAGTAATGTTTTGTATATAGATCTGAATAGGTAAATACATTTACAAACAGAATTGGTCATAATTGACTACGTTACGCTAAAAGGATTCTTATCAAAAGCGTAAAAAATATTAAAAAAACTGTTAGAAATATACTTTTCTAATAATACTTATATAATTACTTAATAAAGAAAAGTTGTTTAATTATTATTAATTTTCATGTTTTTTTTTGTTTAGAAACAATTGCACGCTGCACGTGTAACTATTTTCGAAGCCTCCCCCCCCTGTGCATGATTTACAATAATCTTACTCTAATTCAACTCCTGACACCATGGCTTTTGTACACTTTGCCTAAAAACAATTAGAAAATTAAAAATAAATATCATAAGTTCAAAAAAAGCGTAAACACTGAAATCAAATTTAGACTTGATTTCAGTTTTCACGCTTTTGATGATTTACTCAATATAAAAATAGACAGATATGTACAAGATACCTCATAAAACGTATCGAAAATACAAGTTATAAGATATAGTTCTAAGAAAAGTATTTGATATATCAATTACAAAATACTTTTGGAAAAAGTATTTCAAATACTAGATAAAATACTAGATACAAAATAGGTATTTTTTTTTAAATACTTTCCTTAAAATAAAATTGGTACTATTTGAAAGAAAACATTTTATTTTTAAAGATATTGTTACGTTTTTCGTCGGTTCCGTGTGGATAGAAAGTCACAATTACTAAGTAACAAAACAATAACGATAAAACTACTTAAAGAACTATTTATAACTTATTTACAATTTATCTAACTATTTATCTAAAAGAAATTTATTTTGAATTTAGCGCGCGGCAACTGTACACGTCGAACGTCTGTTTGTTCTCTCTGTCTTCTTCAGGCTCCAGGCGTCGCGCGTCGGCTTATATATGAGAGAAACAGACAGTACCGATTTGACTCGAAGATTCTTAGCCGCGTTCTTCGTCTCACCAGCTTCTATTTGTTCTCGAACACTCTCGAACGGCACTGGGCGTCTTAGGCCGAGTTCACACGGGTCCGCAACAATATTTACCTTATTACATTAATAATAATTATGAACAAGAATCTGAAAGAATGTAAATTTGAGAATGTCTTTATTACTTAAATATTGCAGTGTTTCTAACCAGCGGCAGCGTAGCGGTGCTGCCAGTAGACCCCATGTTGTCGCTACTTGCTACAGAGGAATCAGAGTCCACTAAAAATGTGTAATAAGAGTGGTTTTTTGTCTTACTTTTTAAAAATAATTTTTAAATAATGCATAGGTAATAATTAGTAAAACTGTTTTAGCGAACTAAGTAAAAAATGTATCAAAATACAAGATTCAAGATGAAATTAAAAAAAAGTATTTCAAATATAAGATGAAAATACGTATTTTGTATCTTATATTCGTATTTCAAATACTTGTATCTGAAATAAGTCACATCTCTAAAAATAGATTACAACCTTTTTAAGACCAACTGGCAGTAAGCGCCATTAAAAAATAAAGAAGAGTACGGGCGTAACCACCGTAATAACAAGGCCGAACGGCTGTGACGTAAAAATCTTGTGACGTCACCAACTGGAGGCGCAACTTTATTTAGCAGCGTTGATAATTACCCGATAAAAGTTCAAATTGTGGATCTTTTTTCACTCACCAGATAGATTTCGAAGTTTTAAACTGTCTTTTTCCGAGAGTTATTAAAAATATTATAGTATATAAAAATAGTTTTAATAGAATACGGAAAAAATCATACCAGTCAATAAATGTTTATCTCTCACTTTTTATCAATCAAATTTAATAAAGGAATATTTTAATTTCACAATAGTGTATAATATGAGAAAAAAAAACAATAAAAAATAGATATTTTTTATAGTGTATATTATGCATTTTATCGATATTTTACGCCCCCTACCCCTACGGCGCCTGTCGTAGCATGTAGCGGAGTGGTATTGCCGCAGTTGACAGTCATCGATTTATCGGTAGGTGTGTGGACGTGGTAAGTGGTAATTATAATCGATAATAGAAGGGTGAAAAAAGTTATAAATCTGTAAAAAGAGGTGTTTAAACTATAAAGTGATTATAAGTGTGTGCAATTATACAGTTTAAAAGGTATAATGCCTTGGGTTTCCAAAAGATGAAATTACTAATATACATAGTTTTATTTGAATATATAATTTTTAACAAAGTTTTGCAAAGCCATGTTTCTCAAAATTCACAATAAAAAAATATTTTTATCAAAAATATCTTTGGATTATATTAAAAGTAATAACACCATTATTAAAATTTCCGCAATGTACTATTTATAATGCTAAGTTATTGTAAAAATTTTCATAAATTCTATTAGAAATACACGTCTGAAAAACTACTGTTGATAAAAAATAATGATAGACTTGGAAAAGGAAATAAAAGAAACTTAGGCACACTTACAGCATAAATAAATACAATGACGATGGATAATATGAGATGGGATATCAATCTGATGTTTTTTAAATTTTATATTTAATTATTATTTATTAAACATTCGGTGCAATTAAAGTTTATATCCATTATATACGTATAAAGTGTATCAAATGCAAGTGTATCAAAGTTTAGGCCTCCAGTTGATGACGTCACGAATAAGCTGTCCGGCCTTGTTATTACGGTGGTTACGGTACGGGCCAGATAAATGACGTCCAGGGCTTGACCTCGCCAAAATTATCATCGATTGTCATTACCTATCTACAGTTCATACCAAATAAACTTTTAATCTCGTGATTAAGCTTGACCGGCACACTTTTATATATTTTCTTTTAATCAAAATATTTAAGGAAACAAAAATAAATTAATTATAAGTATATAAACAGTTATTAATAACATCAACAAAACTCACCTTCTTAATAGTATTTAAGGGATATAAAGGACCATTACTACCGCTTTCCCGTTCAAAATATTCTAATAAATTTGCGATGAGTTTTTTACGGCTATTAAGCAAATAACAGAGTTATTGTACACTTCGCACTAAAAGAGGTTCTAAAAAGAACAATGTTTGACTGCAAGGTCTGCTAGTAAACATTTTTAAGCTTAAAGTATCACAACACTATTTATTTAAACTAAAAACTCATAATAAAAAACAAAAGTATCAAAACGAATGTCAATGTCAGGAAATAAATGCGGCAACTTGATATTTTTTACAGCAGAGCTGCCACCTGAATCCCCAGCGGGAAATTTAAATTCCAGTTAATCAGCACGGCGCTGAATATGTTCATGGTTGGCAACAATTAATTTAAAAATTGCGCCCTCGATGACGTAAATAAAAGTTTATTTGATATGGACCGTATTTTATTATTATTTTTATTTAAGACATTCATATTCCTTTTTTCAGGTTGACGGAGATACTGACACTGCTCCAGTTCAAGAAGATTTCAAACACGTCGTGAAAGAACATATCAATTACATGCTTTCCCATATAGGAGAATCTCAGCAAATTTCATCAGCTGGTGGCAATAATCATATAGCTAATGGTCATATTCCTGTTGCCAACGGACATGTACCAAATGGAAACGTTGTACAAAACGGTAAGTTTTGTGGATTGCTTGGATACTTTATGAGATATACCGTACGATCGAATAAAAACGGCGTCAGCGTTGGCTATGAAATGAAGATCACTGTCATTTTATACTAAGGGCTGGCAAAGGTTAGTCTTGGGTCGAGATTTCCGTATGTAAGAAGAGTACAATGCGTTTATAATGTACTGAACAAAGAGAGGACAGTAAACACGTTGCCAAACGTATGAAATAAACCGAGAAACTGTGCACATCGCTAAGAGATGTGGAAGGGAATATAGCAGATTTGTCGCAGTTGACCGGTCGACCCAATCAATACCTCTGTCAGTACTTACAGTTCTAGGGAAAGGTGTACGTCATACCTTCAGCTTCACGATTTAATTACGTCTCGTGATACTTAATTTGTTTATTTATTAACGAGTCGTTGTAATGTTCCCTATAGCTTGAATTTTTTTAAGTGCAATCTAGAAACACTTGCATTTTTGGTAAAAATAAGTGGAATCGAGTGTGTGTTTGATAGTGGTCGCGCTATTAGAACTCTGAATTCAAAAATCGATATCTCGAAATAATAGATTGTAGTTTTTTCAAGAACTTTGATAATATTTCTGCTGTATTTTCTTTGTAGACAGTATGTGAAAATCTTGATCAATAAAAAAATTACACGATTGCTGAAAATTGCTATGCTCTAAAAGTAAATGGATGGATTGTTTACAATTTTTGAATGGAAAAAACTTGAAACTGAAACTGTAAACATATTGTAAAATATCCGATCTTGAAAATAAAAAAAGTTTCAGTATCTAAAGTGGTTCTTGAGTTATGGCCTGTTATGTGTTAAAAAGTTGAGTTTTTAAATTATCGCGATTACTGACGTTTTCTCGTTATAAAAAAATGATCCCTAACGATATCCTTACAATTCCATTTCAGATGCTCAGAAACATGTCTAATAATTTTATCTAGTTATCTCTTAAAAAAAGTCTTTTAAAAATAAGCGGTTTGCGATTGTGATTTTACTTGGCTTGATAGGGGAAGGCGTACCGGCAACGCCGCAAAAGCACACCGTCGCATTTCCCTCACTCCGACTTAATAAGATCCCTATGCGATTTACTTCCACAATGCTTCCACACATGTAAATGCCGACCCAAAAGTAACAGTTGCCAGCACGGTATGTAAAACTATGCGGGAAATGTCATCAATCGTCATTCCATAGCCATCGCTGACGCCGTTTTTATTCGATCATACGGTACTATATTAACGTTCACAATACAAATAAAGAAACTACCGTAAAATGTCAGAGTAAGGTGTAACACTAATATTTTAATTCGGTCTTAACTGGATTTGTAGCTGACGTTTAAATCCTTTGTTTAACAACAAAATGATTCTCAAATGATTTCTAAACAAGAAAGAACAAATATTTTAGATATTCTTTATAGTTTAGTTTTAGCATTTAATAAGAGACTTCAAAGCTCGAAATGAAATTTAATTTCTGCACCTAATACGACACCGTTTTCGTTCAGACATACATATTATGTTTACAACGAGACTAATAATTGTCAGCAGTGGTTAGGTTACAAATTTGCCTAACGGACAAAAGAATATTATTATTATTAAAAACATTTATTACTCTTTAATATATTTGGTTACTTTCCTCTATATCTATTAGCTAAATACAATGTCATAGCGCCAAGTTAAAATTATTATGGACGTTTATAGGTAAAAATTCATTTTTCTTAAGTAGATATTTTTGGAATATTTAATAACTTATTGAAAATTGACTCTTTAATAGAAAAGAAACATTTTCGTTATTTCCCGTCATTATTTACATTAAAATTTAACTAGACACTCAGACGTTATACCATAAATTGTTTAGCGAATATTATAGTAGGGAAATATTATGCTTTCTTCTACTACCTTCGCCCCCTAAATTAGAGCATAGAAAAAATCCAGTTCTTAGAAAAAAAAAACATTTATAATGACAGCATTGTTATATGAAATATCGGTTCGTTTTATAGCAGTCTCATTCTTTAGTCTAGACGAGCTTACCAAAAAAAAGATTACAAAAGTTAAGAAATGTTTGAAGTAAATTTATTTTTATACTTTAATGTAAACGCCAAAGCACACTTGTCGGGTAGGAAGCAGAGAAATCTGGATCTAAAAGTTTTGCATACCTAGTCTACAATACTATTTTTATTTAATATTTATTTGTTATTTAACATTTTAATTACAAAACTGATAATGACAATTAGGACCACTTTGATAATATCATTTCTTGTACTGTTGTACCGATACTATTAAATAAATAAATAAATAAATAAATGCCTTTATTGTCAAAAAATTTTTCAATTTGTGGACAAAGGTAAACTAACAAACAAAGTAAAAAATAACAAGGTACACAAACAAACAAACAAAAGATAATACAAAACATTATACAAATAATATTGTCAGCCTTATTGTTAAAATAAACATATATAAATGTTTACAATGTCAAAGAACAAAAAAAATTAAAATAATATTCAAAAATATTTAGCCAGTTTATAGCAAAATATCAATGACCTCTAAATAAATTAATTTCGATGTCATTAGTAAATATAGCAATAGCAAACATTAGACCAGTGGTTTCAAGATCAAATTCGATTTTCAATTCAAATATAATTCATTTACGGCGTAGAAAGCCTTGTATAGTAAATAAGAGTTCAATGCTTTGCGAAATGAAAAAAATGATGTTATGGATTTGATTTCAAATGGCAGGTGATTGTGCATTTTTTTCGAGTTGTATAATATTGAACTTTTAACTAACTCTCAGCGTGGGGTAGGTAGATAAAGATCTTGCTCCGCGTTCCTGAGTGGATAAGTGTGAGCTGGCCTTTCTTGAGAAGCTGATACATGTTTACTTATTAGGCAAACGGATTCAAATATAAATAAGGAAGGAAGAGTCAATATTTTTAATTCTCTAAAAAAGCTCCGGCAATGAATTCTGCTGTTTAGTCCCAGTGAATATCGAACAGCTCTCTTCTGGAGCTTGAAAATGCGGTCAAATTGAGCCGCACAACACGTACCCCAGAATGGAAGGGCATACCTGAGATGCGACTCAAAAAGTGCATAATAAACAGTTCTAGCCACTGACAAGTTAAGCTCCTTAGAAACAGACCTTAATGCAAAACAGGCAGAGCTCAATTTTTTCGACAAAGCTTCGATATGTATGTCCCATTTCAGAGAATTGTCCACAACAAGCCCTAAGAATTTTACGGATTTTACGACGTCAATGGTGGTGTTGTCAAGTACAAAAGGCTGCAACGAGTTTTTATACGACAAAGCCTTAGTTTTAGAAATGTTGAGACTCAGGAGGTTCGAATCGCACCAAGATTTAATGGTGATTAAGTCATTTGATATAATCCTATGAAGTGCCGCGATGTCCTTGTTGCTCCAAGTGAAGCCAAGTGTTGCTCCAAGTGAAAAGACATATTTTGCCACTGATGTTTATGTTAGCAATGTCGTTAATAAAAAGAAGAAACAAAATAGGGCCTAGTACTGAGCCTTGTGGTACTCCACATTCTATTGGCTTGCTAGAAGACAACGTGGTATCCACCCTCACAAGTTGACTTCTGTTGCTCAGATACGACTTAAACCATTCGAGAGATGATCCCCTGAATCCATAGTGCTGCAGTTTATTAATTAGGATCTCATGATTTACACAATCGAACGCCTTAGAAAAATCACAGAAAATTGTTGCTGTAGAATGATGGTTGTTTAGGCTGGAGTAAACTTTATTAAGGAGGAAAAACATAGCGTCATTTGTGGACTTGTTGCTTAGAAATCCAAATTGATATTCAGTAAGTATTTTGTACTTAAACAGAAAAGATACCAGCCTGCTTTTAACCAACCTTTCTATGATCTTAGATAGCGTTGGAAGGAGTGCAATTGGGCGATAGTTAGAAGCTTCATCTTTGTCTCCTCCTTTGTGCAGTGGAATGATTATTGCCGTCTTAAGACATTTTGGAAAAATACCATTTTGGAACGACATGTTTATTAAAGTTGTTAGGTGATTCAGAGTGCTTTCTGGCAGATTCGAAAACATTTTTAAAGTTAGCCCGTCGGTCCCAGAAGAGGATTTATTTTTGATGGTATTAATTGTACTGCGAAGCTCTTCAAGAACTACGGGCGAAAAAAAGAAACTGTGTAAGTTTACATTATCATTAGAGAGATAAGAAAGTGGATCATGAGGAGGACATATGGTATTAGTTAAGTTTTTCGCTACATTTACAAAGTAATCGTTAAGGTTCTCAGGCGAGGTAGAGATATTGCTAGACGAAGAAGCTTTGTTTCTCAACTCATTCACAATAGACCATGTTTCCTTAGCAACATTACCAGAATTGACTATTCTTCTATTATAATAAAGGTCCTTAGCGGCTCTTATAGTCTTATGATAAATTTTTCTGTATAGTTTTACGTAATTGTGGAAGAAGAGACTGTCTGAGAATTTTTTTAAGTGAGATAATGAACGCATGTTTTTAGAAGATATGCGTAGACCTTTAGTGGTCCAAGGTTTATTATGCTTATTTTTTATAGGCCTAAGAGGAAAGGATTTGAACGCTAGACTGGTTAATGTTTTTACGAAAATAGAAAATTCGGTGTCGACATCATAAGAGCTAGTATCCCAGTTGGTTGTTTTACATAAGTGACCGAACTTTTGAGCATTCTTTTCTGAAAAAATACGGCATAATTTACGAGGGGCATTTTTGATTTTGGACTTTATCGAAAATTCAGTTAAAACTGCTTCATGATCAGAGAGACCCGAGCTAAAGACCGTTAGGATCAAAAGATGACACAACATAGTCTATAGTACTAGAACTGGTATTGGATATTCTGGTAGGTGAGCCTACATGCATGACCATTCCAAAAGAATCAAAAATGGACTGAAGAAACTCCTGAGCAGCACATACACTAAGAAAGTCAATATTAAGATCACCACACAAAATTAATTTGCTTTTCAAGGGCAGGGACTCAAGCAAGCTTAG